GATCAGTTACCACCTCACCGACCATATAACTGCCCTATTGATCTAGTACCAGGATCCAAGATCCCAGCTGGGCATCTCTACTCCCTCTCAGACCCTGAGTTGGCAGCCTTGAGGGATTTCATTGATAAAAATCTGAAAAGAGGCTTTATTCGACCCTCGTCCTTCTCTGTGGCAACTCCTGTATTATTTGTCAAAAAGAAATTGAGAGAACTTAGGCTCTACAACGATTACCGGCAACTGAACCAGATTACTGTGCATAATCGTTACCCATTGCCACTCATGTTGGAACTATTAGAACGCCTCCGTAATGCTAAGGTGTTTACCAAATTAGATCTCAGAGGAGCGTACAACTTAGTGTGTGTAAGAAAGAGACATGAATGAAAGATAGTGTTTTGCACTCGGTATGGGCATTTTGAATACACTGCTATGCCTTTTGGATTGACTAATGCTCCCAAAGTCTTCCAGCATTTCATGAATGATGTGTTCTGAGATCTCCTGGATCATTATGTCATTATTTATCTTGACGATATCTTGATTTTCTCAACTTCCATTGCAGAACATAAGCAACATGTAAAAACTGTACTATAGAGACTCTACTGCATTTTTTCCACTGGTATTGCCATGGATCCTGTAAGGTGGATGCTATCTTGTCTAGGGAGCTTCCACACAAAGTCAAGGACATACAATGCCTGTTGGGCTTTGCAAATTATTACCAGTCTTTTATCCCTTGGTTTGCTGAAGTCACAACACTATTAACCAACCTCCTTTGGAAGAAGGTCCCCTTTCAATGGGATGAGAGAGCTTAGAAGGCTTTCAAAGTTTTAAACTCTTCATTTGCTTCTCAGCCCATTCTGTCACCCAGATCTAGCAAGGCCCTTTGTTCCAGAGACTGACGCCTCTGATGTAGCCTTGGGAGTGGTGTTGCTCCAGGCAAACTGGCACCCCTCCACTGTTTCCTTGTAGGTGCTACTCTTGGAAGCTGAACACCACTGAGGAAAACTATACCATCTGGGATAAGGAACTGCTAGCAATTAAAGCTGCCTTTGAAACATGGTGACATCTACTAGAAAGGGCCAAACACCCAGTGGAAGTATGGACCACCAGAACCTTGAACATCTCTGGCCACTGTCACACCTCCTGAAAAATTTGCTGCTACTAATGTTCCAGCAAATCTGCTTTAGGAACTACAAGAACAGCAACACCTAGACTACTATGCCGAGGCCCATTAGAGGGAAATTGAGGCCACACCTAACAACATTCCATGACACTGGACCAAGACCTACTACTCTTTCAAGGCCGGTATTATATTCCTGCTGGACCCCTTCGGGGTACAGTACTGAGATTGTGCCATGACAGCCCACTGGCAGGGCATTTCGGTCACTTTAAAACTCTGCAGTTGGTGGCTAGAGATTTCTGGTGGCCACATCTCAGGATGGAAGTAGAGCAATATGTTGCTTCATGCCCTGTTTGCTGTCGATCCAAGGACGCTCCAGGAAAGCCAGTTGGAGAAGTCCTACCATTGCCAACACCGGAAAGACCCTGGCAAGCTGTGTGTCTAGACTTCATCATGGAGCTACTTCTGTCAAAGGGAGCAACCACCATGCTGGTGGTCATGGACACTCTCACTGAGATGGCTTATTTCATCCCCTGTACAGGCCTACCCACAGTCAAGGAGATGGCAAGTCTCTTTAAATAACATCTTCCATTTATATGGATTACCTGAGTGCCTGATTTTGGATCAGGGCCCATAATTCACTGCATGGTTTTGGTGGGTACTCTTTGATGGTTTGGGGGTGCAAGTCCATCTTTCCTCTGCCCATCACCCCCAGTCAGATGGGCAAACTGAACTTGTGAATGCCATCTCCAGTGTTATGTAAATTATCACCAGGACAACTGGGTTGAGCTGGCTTCAGCAGAATTTGCCTACAACAATGTGCAACACACCTCTACGCAAAGGACACTGTTCCTAGCTAATTATGGTTTCCACCTTGGTTCTTTCCTTTGGATTCCCTTAATTCATCCATTCCAGCTGCAGATCAGTTTTTATAGGAGCTGAAGGCAATCCACCAAATCCTTTGAGACAAGGTACAGAAGCGAAGGACTCCTATAAACTTTTCACCAATCAACATTGTTGACCTGGAGCCACTTCGTGAATTGGGGATTTGGTGTGGATTTCTACCCAGCATCTGGCTACTCAACACCCATCCATAAACTAGATCGCCAATTCCTTTGTCCTTTATCCACTGAAGTGGTAATTAACCCAGTGGCTTATCACGACAAACTACCGGCATTCATCCAAATACACTCAGTCTTCGACAGATCGTTGTTGGCTCTTGATGCTCCAGCCAGTACTTATTGTTCCGATGTTCCACCCCTACCACCGGTCATGGTAGTTGGTGAACCTGAGTACGAGGTGACACATGCTTTGGACTCCCATTGGCATTGTTATCACTTACAGTACCTGGTGGACTGGAAGGGATAGGACCCAGAGGAACGGTCCTGGGTATCCCAAGTCCACGCACCGTGTCTTGTAAATCGATTCCATTGATGATACCCCCAGAAGCCTAAACCTCCAACTGAGGGTGGAAGGGGTTCTGGGGAGGGGGATAGCATCATGACTTAGGCCCAGGAATTAGACAATGAATCTTACTTGGAAGAAGCTGCTCCAGATGAACCTGTGAAATGTCAGTCTCAGGAAACCCCAAGCCAAGAATCACATGAGGCTGATTAAACAAAGGTACCACCTAGACAGCTGGAACAGTCAGATGAGGATGATGTAAGGTTGCCCAGCCCCTGCACCTGATGAGTAGTGAAAAGAGCAGAACAGGGGCATTCTAAAAGGCTTCTTGCCAAGCAAGTTTAATGACAGCTGGCTGCAGCCTGATTTAAGAGGCAGCTCTGACCCATATTCCTTCGCTGGAAATGATAGTCTGATCTCCAACTCTTGCATGACACTTGCGTGTGGATTCTGCCCATGAAATTCTGATCTCTGGAGCCCCTGACCTGGCTCTCTGAACCTTGGACTGATTTTGGACTATTCTTCTGTGCGTTCCTGTCAAAAAGCAAATCTTTTAGGCAAGCTACTGTCAGAGACTTTGTTTTGGTTTACATTCTTCTGTTATCTCTTGACCTTGAGTAAATTGTGAATTGCCATAGCAACTGTGTGTGAGTAATTGAAAACAGGAGCAGACAAATACCCTGTATCGTATATTGGGATTTTGAAGGGCTATGGCATACAAGTAGTCCTCGCTTAGCAACCACAATTGGGACCAAAAACTCCATCATTAAGCAACATGGTTGTTAAGTAAGACATCACATGACTGCAACACGTATGTCACTTCCGCTGCAGTTGTTAGGCAAATCACCATAGCTGTTAAGCAAATCATCACATGACCATGACTTACAATTTTACTTCCGCATTCTATGTTAACTCTGTTGTCAGAAGCCAGCTGTGAAGCACACAAATGGTGATCACATGATCATGGGATGCTCTGCTGGTCATAAATATGAGGTTTGGTCGCAAAGCTTTTTTTTTTTTAATACTGCTGTAACTTTGAACTGTTGCTAAATGAGGCAATCAGTAAGCGAGGACTACCTGTATTTGGACAAAGTCCATCCCTAAAAGCTCCTGAGGAAACTCAGATGCAATGGAATAAGAGAAATGGTGTGCTTGGAGGCTGTCAATGGTTTAAAAACAAGAGTAGGAATAACTGGACAACTGTCACACTGGCAAGGGAAGCACAGTGGGTTCCCCCCAGTTCTATATTCGGATTGGTGCCTTTTAACTTTTATATAGGCAGCATAGAGGTAGGACTAAGTAGTGAAGTGGCCATGTTTGCTGATGCTGAAATGTTCAGGGGGGGGGGCGGTGAATGAAAAAGGGATTGTGAAGAGTTCCAGAAGGGTCTCTCTGAAACAGGTGAATGGGCTTCAAAAGGACAAATGCCGCCTAGTATAAGCAACTGTAAAGTGACCTATGATAATACATGCATGCACAAAATCCAAACTTCAAGTATACATTAACAGGATCCAGGCAGGAGTGATTGACAGTGAAAGAGAACTTGGAGCCTTTCCCTGCTGCTGGATTAAAATAGGATCTACCCATCCTTTAGCCTATAGAAAATAATATCAGATTCCCTGGGAGATAGGCTTGACCATGTGGAACCTGGACCTTTGATCCTCCCCACCAATTTATGCTGCCAAGGAGGAGCAAGGGTCTGGATGAAGAATGTAGCAAATACCTCTTTGAGAGAGGGGTAATACTGCCAGATTTGAAAAGTAACTCACACCCCCTCCTCAAAAGGCCATCCCTCAACCTAGTTGTTGCAGATATATCCTGCCCTCATTTTTACTTTTGTGGGAAGATTGTTAACAAGGTGGTGGGACAGCAATTAAAGAGAGCCCTGGATGAGGATTCTCTGGATCCCTTCCCCCTTGGATTCAAGCCTGGGGCATGGATGGAAACAGCACTGGTTGTTCTTGTGATATCCAGTGGTGGGGCTGGGATCACGTCCATGTTAGGTGAAGGCAGTTTAATTTGCACTGCAATGTTTAGAAGCTTTCTTTCCTTTAAACCACAGTGCCACACTTTATCCAAACCCAGAGGGAATGCTGGTACATCAAAGATGTATTTGCCCATCCGGGTAGAAATGTGATAAGAGTGACCACGATGTGGGCAACTGCAGCTGGAGTTTTTCTATTACTTTTTTCCTCCCAGTTTCTGGGGTGAAATAAAAAACAAAGGTGTGGGGAGAAATTCTACACACACACACACACGAATGATGCTCTGACACTCATCACGCCACCAAACTTGTACTATGCTCATTAGTAACTAAAATGTCTGATGAAAAATCATAAAGTATTAGCTGGGCAGCCACTCCAAACAAGGGTAGACACATCAAAAAGAATTCCAACTGTGTAGTTTTCTATGTGTGTATTTTTCACTCTTCTTTGAATCACAGGCCAAATGTTCAAGAATGCACAGTAACGCATTTACTCACCTGAATCACCTTCTTCTTCTAAGTCTTCATGCTTAACAATAATACAGATATGCTTCCGCAGCTGTCGAGAATTAGAGAACTTCCGGTTGCACTTCCGGCATTCTAAGTTGTCTGCTGGAACTTCCACCAATTCTCCTCCTTCTTCAGGTCCTGGTTGAGCCCCTTCAGTTGGAGCACAGGTACTGTTTTCAGCCAATTCTTCATCAGCGTAACATTTCTTGGTTGATCCTTTGGGCCTCCCTCTCTTCCTCTTCACTACAAGCAGTTCTGTTGGGGTAGGGATGGGAGAAACATTAACAACTTTAGAAGGTTGTTCTGGGCTTTAATTAGTACTTATACGATAAACTGAGAGCAAAGACATCCAAAGAGATTCTCTCTGCAAATGCTTTTATACATCCAAGTATCCTCAGATGATATTTATTACAGGGTGGTCAATTAAATTATGAGGCCAGCCAATCCATTTCCCAATTTAATCAAAGGAACATTATATGTTCAAGACACTCACTGTGTTAGTGGCAACCCACAGTGAAGTCTAAACAACTGAGCTTCTTCCTTATGAATCAGCATTAGTGTTTAGCAATTACCACTTTAAAAGAAAATGGAGAATGGAGATTAGCGAACACTGGAAGCAGCTAAGCAAAATATGGTACTCACAGCAGGAAGGATAAAGATTGGTAAGAGGATGAAAAACATGGTCAGGAATGATCATCAGACCAGGTATGGACTTGTGAGTGAACTGGGGCATTGCTGGCATTTCATCTGGTGGTTAAGTATCCAGTTCCAAAGTTACACATCTAAGATTTCTCAAAGAAGCAGCTTCTTAGACTTACAACTGGGAGCGAAATCAACTGAATTCACACATATTGCAGGAAACCAAAATATGGTTTATGTGGTTTTGGCTTAAGCAACTTGAGTTAACCGAGCCTACAGTCTGTATCTATGAGCTGTGACTTACATGTGAACCTCACTAACTGAACTTGCAGAATAAATCCCCCCAAGGCAAGGCTTGCTGCAATGTCTGAATCCCATCAATGTATGGAAAAGGGAGGCCTCAGCATTTCTATTTCTCCATCCTAACCTGTGTCTTCACTGACTAGAACTTAAGAGAGCTACGGTCTTTCCTTGATTATCAGTCCAGTTAAGACTATGTAAGTTGACTCCCTCATTTTTTAAAAATTATTTTACTTTGTTTTAGACCATGATTAGGCTTACAAGAAAAGGACCATCATCCAAAGCTGGTCTGCCTTGCTAGGGAAACTGACTCACTCAGTGTCCTTCAACGGTTGCTCTTCTTGCTTCAAGCAATGCAAATATGGGGGGAACGTTCTATTCTGCCCACATTTTTATGAAGGGATCAGAGAAATGAATGAGTTATCCTAAGCAGACAGCCATTACGCTGTTCTCTCCTAAATACGCTTTTTCATTCAAGCATCATCTAATCATTTTGTAATAACTTACATTATTTTAGCATGGATACACTGGTAAGGGATGGGGTGGGTGAGGAATTAAATGCTGCTATTGCAAAATAATGGACGTTGCATTATCTAGGCTTTTATTATTCCCTTGTGATTTATCTAATACATGCTTTTTATAGTACTGAACTTCATTAATAATTTATTCAGAATGCATAAGGGAAAATATGTGTCTGAAATGTGTATGTGTATGTATATGTGTACATGCACGCACACACACACAGACACACACAGACATAGAGTCTCACAGAGAACAGCAGGTTTTTCTGAATTACTGGCAGACTGTGCTTCTAACCAAAACACGTACCTGCTTTGTTAACATCTAGGGTTGTAAGCCTACCAACTGTAATGTTTATAACACTTAGTAGTATGCCACTCTGAATGACCATCACGCAGAACCATGACAATCTAAGGAACATGATTTAACCACATGCACAATCTGAAGACTAGATATTTACATACAGGGAGGAAAAAGGTATGGTTCAAGATGACATTTTAATTTTTTTTTCCCAAACCGGGAAATTCCCAGAGGAACAGGGACTACAACTCCCAGAATTCCTACAGCACGCCCTTCGGCTGGAACCCCTGGTTCCATATAACCGCTGGACGTCGCACAGGGGGAGGCTGCAACAGCAAACCAGTTAGATTCCCTTCTCACACGGAAGTTTGCCTAGCTAGCTGATCTTCCCGAGCATCCCAGAGTCACGCTGAGGTTACCCTTCAGAGAGAATCACGCCTAACCTCTTCGGATTCATCGGTTTTCATGAATGCTCAATGGAGTTGTGGGCTGCAGCCAGTAAGGGCTAGCTCCAAACCCAGGCGTTTATTTGATGAGATTTTCATTGTGTCTTTCTTCCCAGAGCCCAGGCAGCACACCTAGCAATCCTTCCTTCTATTTTTCCCTACAGAGACTTCCCAAGCCTAAAGTCACTCAGCGACTTCCATGGCTGAGGGTAAATTAGAACGTGGGTCTCCCCGGTTCTCGGCCAAAAGGAAGATACACACACCATCTTTTTCAAACCAGTCAAGAAAGGTTTTGGCTGAAGACGTTACTGTTGTGTCTTAATGCAGCCCCTTTGCAGGAATTGACTTTACTCCTGGCAAGATACATATTGACTGAATTTGCACAAGACAGACTAGGCTAAAAGGAAGCTGATACCTATTGAATTAACATGCAGTATAAATCAAGCCCGTCACATGAAACCATGATATCATTTATTTCTTGCAGCATAATTGTGTAAATACAGGAACAGTGCTTTGTTAAAGAGGATTTAAGAGTTAAAGCGCTATATGAACCTAGCGATTTTTTTGTAGACCAGAACAGATCCTATACACTAAACCCTAAAACCCAGTCAGCAAAACACAATTGCTGTGTTTGCACAACATGATATGCTCAAACCAATGTGCCATATTTGGTGATGGCCTGGTTCACCCAACCTACTAAGACGATGCCCAGATTTCATTTTATTTATATATTAAATCAAACTTAAGAGGCCACCTCATCGCTTTCGCAACTCTAGACATCTTACTGGGTACAGACAATTAAAACAGACTACACACACACACGCATGCACACGTACAGTGATAACAATAAGAGCCAGAAAACGTCCATATCAAGAAGAGCAACATGTCTAGTTATACAGCCATACAAAGCATCCAACACGGAGCGTTCACCATCCGCTGCTCCCAGGGCCTGCTGAAAAAACCATCTCTTCAAGGCTTTACAAAAACACAGCAGGGCTGGGGCTGTTCAGATTTCAAAGGGACGAAAGCTGGAGGGGCCACAGAAAAGCAGCGTCTCCAAGATCGCACAAGATGGCAGAGCTTAACCAACGAAGCGAACCCACCATGCCATCTTGATGGTTGGGCAGAATCAACCAGAGAGGCACAGACCCGTAAGTATCCAGGCCTAAGCCTATACATGATGAGCTAAATTTCCCCATCCCATTTTATTAGTTTTTATTTGGTACGCAACTCCTATCAAAGATACATCATGTATGCACATTTTAGCAGCTAAAAAGCACACAAAAGTCACAGACTCCTTTTCTGTGGCAGCATACACTTTTCATACTGGGACAGCATTCATCATATGAATTTATTGTACATGGAAGCAGATATGAAGAAAGACTGAAATGGAAGTTGAAAAACACTTTCATAGCCTAGCCTTGGCCCAGCCAGAATGGTCTCAGTATAGAAATTTCAATCTGATTTGTGCAAAGATACAGAAAACCACAGAGAGTTTTATAATACATTAATGAGTCCATCAACAGCTAATCTTTTGAACATACCTATGGCCAGACAGATTTATTGCATCAACTCCTACGCGTGGAGCATAAAGTTCATTAGCAAAGCTGGTGTTTCCGCTGTCATGCAAATAGCAACAGTGCTTGCATTTCCATGAGCTTTGTTCCCTTTCACTTTTAGTCAATTTAAACATTTCAGTTTTACCCTAATCTTACATACAGGTAGTCCTCACTTAACGACCACAATACGGACCAGAAAATTAGTCATTAAGTAGGTGGTTGTTAAGCGAGGCATTACTGACCGCACCCAATATTACGATATTTTTTGTGGTGGTCATTCAGCAAATCACTGCAGTTGTTAAGTGAATCATGTGGTCGTTAAGCAAATCATGTGGTTCCCCACTGATTTTGCTTGCCAGAAGCCAGCTGGGAAAGTCGCAAATGGCAATCACATGACCCCAGGATGCTATAACCACTGTAAGTTGTAGGTGCAAGCTGGTTGCCAAACACCCGGATTGTGATCATGTGACTGTGGGGGCACCGCGACAGTTGTAAGTGCAAGGACCAGTCGTAAGTAGCTTTTTTAAGCACTGTCATAACTATGAATGGTTGCAAAACAAATGATCGTTAAGCGAGGACTACCTGTATTGTGCGAACCCAGCAATGCTGTAACCACCAGTGTGTGGAAGACATAAACAACCAACCCTACGATTCTATGCCAATCTAGAATAGCTAAATACTAGATGCTGTTTTGCCACCTCCTATAATGTGGCCTATTACAATAATGGAGGTGCTCGATTTGGAAAGCTGGTTCTTTCTCTTGCTACTATTGGGCCGCAGAAGGCTTTGTTAGTAAGTTCTGTAACTTTTATTTTTGTTTTTTCTTCCCTTCAACACGGCTACAATAATATTAAAACCAAGTGCCAGAAAAGGATTTAGCGAGTGCCATTAAGCCTCCGATTCTTTTAGCACAGGACAATACCATTCTTAGAAATGAAAGGAAAATTGTATTTGTCATCCCGTTTAGGTAGGACAATAATCGTCGGCTAAGTCATTCAACCTTTGTGCTGTATGGCTTTTCGGCTAATAGCATCACTGTTAATTTTCCATTATAAATTATGAATGGTCCCAGTTCTGCCTTTGCACAAAATGAGGGCTATTATCTGAAATGAATCACAAGAATTGTTTTTTTGACAAATGCCAAGTTAACATTCAGCCAATCAGCTTGTCCAATGACAGCGGCTTCCTATTATTTGATGCGGTGGCTGCTTTCCAAAAGAAAGTTCCACTAATCTCTCTCTAAGAGCTAGTTAACCACAGAGCACCAAAATAAAGGTTTTAGAAAGCAAGCAGAGCTCTGCCTATATTTAAAATCAATGAGCAGCAACATTTCTGGAAAATATTGCACTCTTGGACGTGATAACCAGCCTTACAAAGGAAGCCTCCGTACTGCTCTGTTCCCACGATGGAAGCCCGCCACATGGCACGCTGTTTTGCACGGTATAGTTACAACGTGGTGCCCCTGTTCCACTGTAATGGCCTGTATACAACGGAAGCAATGACGTTCAAAGGCTACATTTCTAGAAGAAGAAATACCGGGGCTCAAATCCATGTGGAAACACCAACCAGGTTAGAACACCCTTCTTGTAACCTGTAGTTAACTGGAAGCACTTTGCATCACCTCCAAGACATCTGAATTCTTCCTCAAATACGATCAGACAAATTCTGCTGCCTCCATGGTCTAGACCAGGGTTTCTCAACCTTGTCAACTTCAAGATGTGTGGACTTTAGCTCCCAGAATTCCCCAGCCAGCACGCTGGCTAGGGAATTCTGGAAGCTGAAGTCCACACATTTTAAAGTTACTAAGGTTGAGAAACCCTGTCTAGTCACTGCCTAGCTGAGCCCCCACTGGAAAAAGCTCCCTATACTGGTCTGAGTCCCATCACAGAAGAATGAGAGACCTAACAGTAATCATTAAAGATCTTCCAGAAATGTGGGTGAGACAAAAAAAACCACACAGATGCCATTTATGAAGCATACATTTCAACCACGCAAGCCACTGTTTTCATTGATGTGCATCTGGGGAGGAGAAAGCAAGCTCTAACAAAATTGAAGGGAGATTTGACAGACTGCTCCAGAAAGAAAGAAAAAGGAGAATGTTTTTTTTGGGGGGGGGGCACTGGAGTATTCATCAGCACGAATACCAAAAGGGGGCTGTTGTCAAAGGCCTGGTTTTCTGATGTACTTTAAGAAGACTACCCTCGAAGCATCAGCATCTCAAAAGGGCTGGGATGACGGGAGTTAGTTGGCAGCCACTGATCCCTACAGTGTCCATTCACTCCGGGTAACATTTGCACACCTACACAGCGATCCTACTGGCCACTGGCGTGCAAAGTGAGGGACATTCAACCAAAAGGCAGGAGGCAGCCTTCCCCAATGTGGTGCCCCCCAGAGGGGTGGGCTATTGGGAGGACTGAGAGAGAGGGCAGGCCTCAACCAGGGAAGGCTGAGATGGGGACATCGGGAGATGGAAAGCTGAGCACATTCCATATACTCATCTTTGTGACCTCGGTGCCAACACACAGCTGAATTGATAAAGATAGTTAAATTCATGGGTATACGTGCTCTCTCTTTAAAGGATGGGGATAGTAAGCATGTGAAACTGTAGACATTAAACCATGCTTATAATTCATGAACAAAACAAATCTTCTGGCAGGCTCAGGAGGCCATCGAAGCCTTTCTCGCCCTACGCAGAGACAGAATTCACTATAGTCAGAATTTCATGAATTACGCAAAGACTTGCTGCAGTTATGAATTAAGCAGCAGCTCTGGTTGTTTTAAGGCTGCAGTAATTTCATAAATTTAGGACAACCCAGGGCCACAGCGCAATAAAGGTTTGCATCTTTGCTGACTTCCGCTGGTACCTTCTCCATTTTTATTCAGATTTGTGGGCGTCGTTAGAGGCCTGAGTAGAATAATGATTTCATCCACTTTAGTCCCATCTTCTGAATGCTTCTCGGAGACGTGAGACAGCAATTCTGACTGGTTCGGGGAAAATAAGTTACAGAGCTTACACATGAAGATGGATCTGTTCCCTGGAAAACATAAAAGAAAATTAAAGCTGGTTATTATTTTTTTATTGCATGAGTTCATTTGAAAATCCATAAAGTTATTCACCTTCACCTTTTTTTTTTTTTTGGTAACAACCTGGACCAATATTAAGAAGAGCACAGAAGGAGTGCCAGTGAAAAAGGCTGACGCTCAGCCTGAGCTTTTGCACAGAATGGCTTGTACAAATCTTTGCAAAGCCTATGTATGTTTCGAAACTGACATGGAAGGAGGGCTTTCAACTTTGTGCAAATACAGCACCTCTCAGTTATTCATTGAAGCAGCCTTGTTATGTCAGGCTTTTGCACGAGCCGAGAGGGAGAGATGCAGCTGCTTTAAGAGTTGCATTAACTTAAACAAATCAGCTCATTAAGCCTGGGGTCCAATAATGGAAAATCAGGCAGAGATGCAGGCATGACTCACTAAACCATGGCTGGGGAATCCTGGGAGTTGAAGTCCACACACCTTAAAGGTGCCAAGGATAAGAAACACTGCACTAAAGTAAAATCTGCATGATATCCTACCCTATTTGGGCCCTCGGGATATGCTGCATTTCCATCCGCACGAGTTAGGAATTATGGGAGCTGAAGTCTATCACATGCAGAAGATTCTAGGATGGAGAAACTTAGCTTACAGCGACTCAAAAACCTCAAAACAACAGATAGCTTGTTGAGAGCTGCAAAATAAGGCGCTTGGAGCTGCAGACTGTAGAACAGTATTACGGAATACCAGACTCTATACTAGTATTCCATAGTCCATTAGATATTATGAAAGGGAGACACAGGCATATATTGGTTAGGTAGATGCAGACAAGTTGAGTTCATCCCCTGGTGACACTGTGGGCAAAAGTTCTCTCCACCTAAAAAACTCCCTCTGATCCTCTCCACCCTCCTTACCGATTGCCTTTTCCTTCTAGTTCCCTCAACTTTTCAAGCCTTTATCTTTAATTCACAAATAAAGTAAAGGATCAGGGGGAGGAAGAGGGCTTTGGAGTGGTATCCCACGGTCTACACACCCCAAGGGATAGAAGACCAAAACAGAATAAGGTCAGAACAAAAATAACATTAGGCTTCATTTATTCTAAAAAAATGAGAACATTCCCCAGATGTTTAACAATAAAAGAAAAGAGCTCAACTCCTGGTGACTCCATGAATATGTATGAAGTGGTTTGCCACTGCAGTCTCCCAGAAAGTTTTCCAACTTCCAGTCTAGGCTACAACCCTGAGATCTCCTTGTAGTCTCCTTTCCAGCTACTAGCCAGCCCAACCCTCCTTCACTTTCCAAATTAGTTAAAGTCAAGTAAGTGCTACCCCCTAGCAAGGAAAGGATATAAACTCTTTCCCAAACTGAGACGTTAAGATCAGAAGAAAGTGTTTCATTTTCTCTGAAAGAGTTTATCCTGATCTGCTACAGAACTCTAATTTTTTAGACCTCACCAGAGCATTCCCGCAGCTTCCAGGTTTTTCTTACAATCCATTTGATTGTGTGTTTTTTTAATAAATACAGTTTGTTTATTGTTCAATTTACATAGCTGCCCATCCGATATGCATGGCACTGGGCGGCTCACATTGTTAAAAATAACAAAAACCAAAACCACGTACAAATAAATAGCCAAAACAATAACAAAAACTGTTAAAAAGAAATTAAAACAATTAAGCATAAAACATATGGCTATATGATTATACATTTGGGCCAGTCACTCTCTCTCAGCCCAACTCACCTCACAGGGTTGTTTTTCTGGAGAAAATAGGAGGAAGAAGGAGTACTAGGTATGTTTGCTGCCTTGAGTTATTTATAAAACAAATAAAGGTGGGGTAAAAAAAATCTAAAAAAATAATAATAATAATCCCTCTCCAAGTTGAATTCAGCTCCTGATAACTTTCTGGACACATACATGCATGCATCTTGGATGGGAGACCACCAGACTAGGAACTTGGGGAAAACAAAATCCCAGAAGCAACAACATGAAAGTAGTTTGCCCTTCTTCTAGGATCCCCCTCCCAAGTTCCTAGTCTGGCCTACATCTTTCAGATTTCCTGGTGGTCTCCTATCCAAGTCTAACCAAACCTAATCTGGTTTATCTTTTCACAATTAGCCTAGTTAGGTGCTGTTATCTGCTGTGATTTACTTCATAAACCTTTCTTTTTAATAATACACAGGTTCAATAATTAAGTCCCTTCCTTTCACACAATAAAATTATACGTTTGTGTGACATTGAGATGGACACTGCGGGTATGGCGCTGATTTTGAACACCCTTTTATTATGTTTATTCTTGGTTTGGAGCTCTTCCAAAGTGAGCTTTTCCAAAGTTGATTCTCAGTTAGGAATTCTTCCAAAGTAATCTGAATTTTCTAGCTAACCTTAACCACGGAGATGAGTTGAATCCCCTGAATTACGGATTGCTCTACCAGACCTCAGGGCTGAATAACTGAGGAGATGCAGGCTTTTGTCTTCCCCTAGGTCAGTGTTGTCAAAATCTGGCCACTTTAAGATGAGTGGACTTCAACTCCCAGAATTCCCCAGCCAGCCATGCTAGCTGGGGAATTCTGGGAGTTGAAGTCCACTCATCTTAAAGTGGCCAGATTTTGACAACACTGACCTAGGGGAAGACAAAAGAATTCTGGGAGTTGAAGTCCACTCATCTTAAAGTGGCCAGATTTTGACAACACTGACCTAGGGGAAGACAAAAGAATTCTGGGAGTTGAAGTCCACTCATCTTAAAGTGGCCAAGTTTGGACAACACTGCCCTAGGTTTAAAAAGCACTCAGGGATCGTTAATCTGACACTCTCTATCAAGCCTTCTTTACCATAGTGCTGGGAGGACAAAATGTTGTGAGAAAGCAATATATACACCCTCTTAAACTGGAAGAAAAATGGGACAATAATGTAATCGCTTGTTGGGTTCTTTGTGTATGGCCGGTTGCTTTCTTGCAAACGTTTCATTTCCATGCTCTTTCATTTCATCAATGCGCCAAGCTCAGAGAACACCAAGAACCCCACAGCTCGATCTTGAGCTGCATATATTCTCCTACTTATTCAATTATTGGAATGTAATAATTGAATAAAGTAGCTTGATTGCTAGACATCTGATTTCGAACACTGGAGTGATGAGTAAAAAAGCAGAAGAAAAACAGAAGAAAGAAAGGCAGTTTCAGAGTGTGAAGAGGAGTCAAAACCCTATATGGAAACATCACCTGCTAAAACTAGATTATTGTTTTGATTTATAAGCCCACAGATTTTTCTCCCACCTTTAGTCACAGTGCCCTACCTCTAAAGTCCAAAAGAAAATGAAGTGCTTTACAGATTAACTGCAAGGGGGAATAGTAACTGAAAAGTGAAATCTTGCCACACACTGTATAAATAACTATTGCTGCTACTAATAATAAGGCTGATGCCAATCTCTGTAGTATCTGAACAAATATGCAAAATGTAACGGATAAATCAGCTGATAATTAGGCTGGGAATCTACAGGACAATAACTGAAAGAGCCAATTAAAGGTAAAGAATCAAATAAGCAGTATTCCAAATTAAGCACGAATGCAATTGATGAGGAGGCCATGGGTAATTAATTAGGAGGGAAGTCAACAGAGCAATTAATTAGACAAAGAATTAAATATGCAGAGAATCAAAGAAGCTGTTAATCAATTAAGTATGCAGGTACGCTAAGGAGACATAGAACTGGTGAAATATTTTAGCTGGCTGCATGCAATCTTCTCCTTGTACCCTACAAACCTACACCCTAATTTACTATTCCAGACAAATTTTTTATGACATGAAACTTTTGGAAAATAAATCTAATTATCTGCCATCACTGTATCTGTATTATCATAGCATTCTCTCCTCCTAGAGCAGCAATCTGTAGCAAACTTACTAGTGAAGAAACATCAACGAAGAGGGGGTGACTCGCTTCTGTGTAAAGATGCCCTGTTCATCTCATACCTCAGTGAAGCTGCATCCAGTGAACCAAGATCTATCTGCATTCAGACTCATTTCACAGTTAGTACGGACAACGAGAATGATAATTGCAATAATAAATGCAACCATCCTGTTCTTGATGGTCCTGAGTGCAGTCCTCCAGAGCAGAAAGCCACGATTCTTACTCAAAACAGCTAGATCAGAAAAGGTGGAGTCTTGCTGGATCTGGCCAAAGAGCACCTGGACATTAGAAAGCTCACAAGCAGGACATGAGGGTGACAGCCTGCTTTCACTGTTGCTCCCTAGCATCCAGTTGGGTGTGGTGGCCAAGATGTTGGGCTGGAAGCCAGGAGACAGTGAGTTCTAGTCTCCCCCTTAGGAATGGAAGCCACCTGGGTGACTTTGGGCCAGTCACTCCCTCACAGCCCAATGCACCTCACAGGGTTGTTGCTGTGGGGAAAACAGGAGGCAGGAACATTAGATATACGTGCCGCCTTGAGTTGACCAAAAACAAAAGTGGGATAAAAATCTAATAAACAAACATTCAGGGCACGCGGCCTTGGATGCTTTGTTATCAAACAACTGATCAACCTTATCTTCCACAAACTGGCCTGGTCTCCTGCTGAAAAGGTTCAGATTGATGGCTATCGACCACATCTGGCGGAAGGAAATTCTACAGCACCCCTCAGTAGAGCGTATAGAAGTGTTTCCATTTACTTCAATGGATAACCCCAAGAGGGGTTCACATATAACAAGCTAGAATGTGTTGTGTTTCGTGAACCCAGTCTGTGTGTGAGAAAAAGGGGCTTATTTCTACTTCTAGAAATAGTTCTTCCTCCCAGATTCTCAAACTGTGGAGCATTTTTTTTTTTTATATGGAGCGGAGAGAGCAAATGCTAAGTACCTCTTGTGTTTCCCACTGGAAGATATCCTCTATTTGTAGCTAAAGGAAAGGGGCAAAGAGGTGTTTTTCTAATGCAATGCCTAAGGGGCTGGACGAGAGACAGCCCCCCACCCTTCCTTTTTGGCCTTAAGTACAGCTATTCTTTCAGCCTTGTCTCCATCA